TGCTAGGAAAACTGGGCAAGAGATTTGACCAGGCATTTCACAAAAAATAACCAAATGGCCAAGAAGTATATAAAAAGATGCTCCACATTCTTCCTCATCAGAAAAATGCAAATACACAATGGCTAAAATTTAAATAAATAGACAATATCGAATGTTGGTGAGAACGTAAAGTAACTAGTACTCCTATGCTGCTGTTTGTATAAACTGTTACTGATGCTTTCAAAAACCCTTTAGTAGTAACAGACATGTTTTGTGTCCTAATATATGCTTAATCTTGGAGATTGTCCCATGTGCTGATGAGAAGAATGCATATTTAGTAGTTTTGGGGTAGGAAAATTCTTTAAATGTCTTTAGTTCCATTTGTTCTAGAGTCCCATTTAAGTCTAGTGTTTCTTTATTTTCTACTTCCAGGGATCTATCCAGCTCTGTCAATGAGGTGTTGACACCCATGGCAATTACAATGCCACTATTTATCTCTTTGCTTGGATCTAGTAGAAGTTGCTTTATGAATCTGGGAGATCCTATGTTAAGGGCATATATATTTAGGATTATGTCTTCTTGTTGAATCTCTCACTTTACTATTATATAATGACCATCTTTGTCTTTCTTTACCATTGTTGATTTAAAGTCAATTTTACCTGATATGATAATGACCATACCTGATCTATATGGGTTTCTGTTTGCTTAGAATATTTTTTCCATCCCTATATCTTGAGTTTGTGTGAGTCTTTGTGGGTTAGATGTGTTTCCTGGAGACAGCAGATAGTTGGGTTATGTTTTTTCATCTTTTCACCCAGCCTATGTCTTTTAAGTTGAGCATGCAGACTGTTAATGGTGAGTGATAGCATTGATATGTGGGATGCTGTTCTGTTCATCATATTGGGTAGTCCCTTATTGCTTTGTTTTCTGTCTTATGCTATTGTTGTATACAAGTTTTGAGTTTTAGCTTTTGAGTGATTTTACCCTGGTGGGTATCTATTGTGCTGATACATGTATAATGCAGTTCTGAGTACTTCCTACAGGGTTGGTCTGATCATGACAAATTCCCTCAGGGTTTGCTGATCTGGAAAAGTCTATATTTCTCTGTCAATTATGAAACTTAGTTTTGCTGGATATAAAATTCTAGGCTGCCAGTTGTTCTGTTTAAGAAGACTGAAGATAGGGCCCCAATCTCTTCTGGCTTGTAAGGTCTCTGCAGAGAAGTCTGCAGTTAGCCTGATGGATTTTCCTTTGTAGGTTAGTTGTTGCTTTCATCTTGCTGCTTGTAGAATTTTCTCCTTCATTTTAACCTTGGCCCGGTTGATTACTATGTATTTTGGAGATTTTCCATTTGCTATGAATCTTCCCAGTGTTTGATGACCATCTTGTATCTGGATGTCTGACTCTCTGGCAATACTAAGGAAGTTTTTCTCAATAATTCACTCAATGAGGTTTTCCATGCTTTTTGCTTTTTTTTTCTCTCTCTGGGATAGCTATAATTCATATACTGGCTCATTTCACACAGTCCCATATTTCTCTCGGTGATTGTTCATTCTTCTTTATTCTGCATCTTTTACTGATTAGGTTAGTTTGAAAGCTTTGTCTTCAAGTTCTGAGATGGTCCTGGAGTAGGGAACCTGTGGACCCAAGACCAAATGTGGCCCTCTGGATCCCCAGTTGTTGCTCCTTGACTGAATCCAAACATCGCAGAACAAATCACTTTATTAAAATAATTTGGTCTGTAAAATTTGGATTCAGTCAAAAGGCCACACTCAAGGATCCAGAAGGCCACATGTGGCCCCAAGACTGCAGTTTTCCCACCCCGTAAGTTGTTGAAGCTTTCTGCTATATTTTGAAAGTCCCTAAATAACTCTTTCATTTCTTTAAGTTATACACTTTATATATATATCCTTGTTATCCTAAGTTATATCCTTCTTACGTTTTCTATCTGTTTGGTGACTTTTTCATTTTTTGGTTTCTCATCCTGAAATATTTTGGCTTCTTGGTATTGGTTTTCAACTTTCTCTTCAATTCCATTCATCTTATTTGCAATCCATATTCTGATTTCCATTTATATCATTTCAACAATTTCCTTTTGGAGTCCACTACTGTAGCTCCATTGTTATCCCTTGTGGGTATCAAGCTTTTTTTGTGTTTTTATGTTGCCAGGATTCTCTTGCTGGTTTCTTCTCATCTGAATCATCTTCTCTTAGCTCAGGGATAACAGTTTTACAGGGTGCCTGTTCTCCTTTGCTGGGAATTCTCCTACTTAGCAAGAAGGGAAGGTCCCTAGATGGTGCTTTTGTGTTCTACTCTGGAATGCTGATCTGGCAAGTGAGGGGCAGGAGTACTGACAGCCTCTAGTGCAGCTGTTGTTTTGTTCCATTCCCCTGTGATTGTTACAGTTTAAGCCAGTGCTGGATGATCTTCATGCAGGGTGGTGTGCTATTCCCCAGATTATTATTGGAAGTTTAAGTTGGGGGCTTGGTGAGACCCTCTCTACAGCCACTGGCATTGTGTGGGATTGCTCTGCCCAGGGTTTCTCCACAGAGGTGACTGTGGCCACCGGGTGAGGCTATCAAGGCAATGGTCGTTGGTGTCCTAGCTGTGGGCACTTGCTTAATTCAGGTCCATGTTAAATGGCGGCCCAAAGCTGGGAGGGGGCAGTGGTCCCTGCCGGAACATTGGACCTCAGGGCAGTTCTGTGGGCCCAGTGGTGGTGGTGGAGTCTGGGGCCTTGGGGTCCAGGCACAATGCTGGAATCTTGGGGGTGGCATGATCGCCCCATCAACTTCTTCTTCACTCTGAATGTCCTGTGTCATTTCTCTGGAGTTTTACAATGTTCTTTCCAAGAAGAGTCAAACGTAGGTGGGTATATACCTACAGCTTTCAATACTCTCTTTGAGAGCAGCACACAGGCTGCTACTGGTCCACCATCTTCCTCCTCCTTCAACATGGAAGAATTTTAAATGCATATTGCTAAGTGAAAGAAGCCAGTCTGAAAGGACTACATACTGTATGATTCCAATATATGACAATTTACAGAAAACACAACTTTAGAGAGAGTAAAAAGATCAGTGGTTTCTGAGGTTGTGGACAGGGGCTAGGGTTAAACAGGTGAAGCACAGAGGATACTTTACGGTGTTGAAATTATTTTGTATGATACTGTAATGATGGATACATATCATCATGCATTTGTCAAAACCCACAGAACTATACAACACAGAGCATGAACCTTAATGTAAACTATGGACTTTAGTTAATAATAATGTATCAGTATCAGTTCATTAATTGTAACAAATGTATCATACTAATTCAAAATGTTAATAATAGAGAAATGTGGGGGGTTGGGGTTGAGGTGAGGTGTGCAGGGAAAAAGCTAGGGAAAAAAGCAGAATGTCCTCAAAAAGAAATAATGAGATGTACAACTAACCTCTCAACAGAAAAGAGTTGGAGATAATTGAATGAAATTTTTACAACACGGAGAAAAACAAACAAATTTAAACATTTTCCAAACTTGAATTCTATACCTAGAGAAACTATCCTTCAAAAATGAAGGTGAAATGAACATTTCAGATAAGCAAGCAAAAATTATCACCAGCAGGTCCACACTAAAGTAAAATACTAATGGATCTTTGGACAGAAAATAAAAGATCCTATATGGAAGTTTGCACACATAGAAAGAATTCAAGAATAACAGAAAAATAAACCATGTAGGTAAATCTAATTATAATTGACTATATAAATAATAATGATGCTGTCTTATGAGGTTTAAAAATAAATATATGTATATGTGTGTTAAAATATATACATAGTATAAACACATGCATATATACACATATAT